GTAAACCATATATTGTTCAGGATTACATTAATAACATTTGATTTTTCATACCATAGATAATATTAAATTAAATTAAAATAATCCAAATTATTATTAAAAATTAAATAATTAATTACGAGGTTTTAGGGCATAAATTTCAATATGTATCACAATTTGAAACAAATGCCACATGTATTGGGATACATCCCCATTTGATTGGTGCGGACGCGTAGACCATGATATTATACACGCTCCTTTCCCTCCACGGCTTTCGACAGTGTGAGCTTATACAAGCCTGTAGTGAAGCTTGGGGTACATATCTGAGCTAGCCTAGTCGTTCCATGTTCACGTGCATGAGTCATGTATAGAAAAGTATTACACAGACAACCCTACATGGACTGGAAAGTAGAGACGAGGGAAAAGTTGCATGAAAAGGTAGGTCCCACTATGATTGCATCTGATTATATTTTCCGACACCAACAGTTGGTTTACTTCGTAAATTTAAATACTCAAGGCTTGTGCCTGTGGTTCTACACGTGTCATATATACTGATATGTGTGAATTATCCGTGGAACGGTATGCTTATAATATGTTTATATTATGTTATAATATGTGAATTGTATGATAATAATTATGATATGATGTGTTTAAGGATATGTTTGAGATAAGATACGAGAAGGATGCACAAAACGAAAGGTAACGATAGGAGTAAGATACGTTCATGAAACGGTAAGGTTAGGCTACATACCGGAGTTATGGATAGGGGAGATTGATGAAAGAATATGGTTAGGATATGGGTAGAAAGAGATAAGTTTGCGATAGATTGATAGAACGATAGCGTTAGGATACATTCTTGTGATGATATGACTAAGGTACGTTCACATAACGATATGACTATGATTAGTATAAGAACGTTAAGGCTATGATAAGTTAGGGAACGATATGACCACGAAGTGTTTATGATATGACATGTTTACGATACGATATATTGTGATGTGATGTGTTATGTTTAGATTGTTTTGTGTGACCATTGAGGTAATTGTTGTATGAATTGCACGTTATGAAATGACATGTTAAAGCATGGAGCGTTATGTTATGTTTTCTAAATTGTATGTATACAACATGTTATGAATGACATGATATCATGATAAATGAAATGAAAGATGATACGTAGACTAAATAATGAGAAATTACATGTTAAGCATTATGTGTGCTAGCGGGATTATATTCATTAATGATAAAAGTAGAAATATTTGGGACCTCATGCATTATGTGTGCTCATGCATTTGGGGGATACCTCTATTCCATCACGAGGGTACGGACGCGTACATCCAATGGCAGGACAATGATCGTTATGTTTTGCATAGCGCTGTCGTGATGGTTACTAGTTCTAACGGGTGTCTGGCTTAAGGAGCTCCCCGAGTATGCTCGCCCGACAAGGAAAGTGGCCCAGTGGTGCGCAAACTAACTGGTGAGCCCATACTCATATGTATAGGTTGTGTGTAGAGTATATGGTACACGTCCAAATTACCCCAATAGTGGGGTCACTTACTGAGTATTCTTTAAATACTCAAGTCATGTGCTACTACATTTTTCAGGTTAGACTTAGGCTAGAATAGGCTGTTTTTAACTTAGACGTTTATTTATTTTATTTAGTCTTTTCTTGTGTCGTGTTAAAGATGTTTTCGAAACACGTAAGTCCTGTTAGGATCGATACCAGTTGTTAGCTCTGATACCAGGATCGCTCAACAATGCACACACTCGATCAAGATCATATGTTTTTATTATTGGAGGTAGTCACTCCCTGTGCCATTGTTTCAATTTACTAAATATACCTTCCAAAGATTCAAACCTGCAACCTATAATCTAATAAATATATGAATATCAAATCCTATCCAAATATCTTCCAAATATATCTGTACCAGATCTCGGCATCAGGCTCTATATCACAACAAGTTCATGGCCGTGTTTTAAGATAAAGGTTATGTTTTATGGAATTTAAATGAAGTCTTCCGCAATCAATGTTTAAATTATATATCCTATTAGAACTAATTAGTTTGAAGATATAATATAAGTTTTAAAATTTTGAAAATCAAATTTGATCAGAATGGAACCTTTTAACCTAAAAAAAAAGATAACGAACATTTTTATTCATAAAATTATTTATTGAAATTGAATGAAAGTTAAAGTGCATCATTTCCAATGATACATTAACTTGAATATATTGAGAGACCCAAAATACAAGTAAATACCTTCCTCTCGACCTGCCCAAATGCAATTATTATCATCACATTGATCATTAAACCAATACCCTTTTACTGGCCAAAAAACATCTCCACTAACTTGTCCATAGTTGCTGCTAAAATGGCACCAAAACAACGTAGAAGTCCAAAAATTTTCTTTAAAACTCCAGTTATAATTATCTCCGGTGCGGAGTACGTGCTCGCCCAGATCGTCATTTGCCGACTTGCAATGAACAATTAAAGTTGAAGTAGTCATCCCATTTAAAATAGTCACTTTCCAACGAGAGAACGGTAATTGTAACTTAGATTCTGCCAAACAAAACTTCATCATATTGTTCGATGCCAAGACAACCAACACCATTAAACAGAATATGCTTAGAGTCTTCATTTTCTTCTCAAAGATAGTTCAACCTTTTTTTACAAACATAATTGGATTCTATCTCTTATATATACATAAATACAGCCAAAATGAGTGGTACATAGTTATATTTAAACGGAATTAGTTAAAAGTGTTGTGTAAATTTTGGTTATTACAACATATAGTCCATAGCAGGGTGGGACGGTCACCTTAACTTTCTTAATTTTATCACTACTCCTTCCCTGTTAGCTTTTGTAACTCATTTTTTATTTTATTAATTCCTTTTAGGTAAAGTTTAAAGCTTGACCCTTCATTATTTAGAATCGTGTTCACTTTTAAAATGAAAAAGAAATTAAGAAAATAATGATAAAAGATGGTTAAATGTTTTAAAATAAAGTTTTTGGCCTCGAATATTGTGTCACGGCTAAAATTATATTTTATTTAAATACCTGTATAACCAAAATATTATTATATAATTTTATTTAAATACCTATATAACCAAAATATTATTATATAATTTTATTTAAATACCTATATAACCAAAATATTATTATAGTCATTATATAGATTTATTGATAAAAATTTTAAAAATATGTTTCTTTGAGAATTAGGAATTTTAAAACTTACCTAAAAGAAAAGTTTTGTTTTAGATATTTTTAAAATTTGCGAGATTAATGTTAAAATCACTTACGGCTTCTAAATCTTGAACAACATGCATTGGTTGATAAAACTAAAATCCCATGAGTCCAGTCGTCTGAGCTTGGCTTCGGGCGAATCAGCATGTGTATGTTCCATTATAATTGGATTCATCTTTTATTACTTTACTAATTGTACTTCCTTTTATATATATTTTAAATTTCTCATACCTCAATATTTTATACTATTTTTAAACTATTCATTCACTTTATACTATTTTTAAATACATATGTTATAATATGAATGAGTTTCTTTTCAAATTTTAATAAATTTTACATGCATTTAGGTTATTTTAAAACAAAAGTATATAATGTTCAATATTCATAGAATATACATATATTTGAAAGTATATAATACTCTGTGTTCATCTTTCCTCTCCATAAAATGATTCGTCCTCAAATCAGGAAAGTTATTACCTACATGAAAAAGAGTCAAGTCATTAACATTGAAAATAGAACATACTGAAAATTCTCCGAGAAGATCAATTTTATAGTCATTGTTATTAATTCTTTTAAGAACTTGATAAGGGCCATCCCCCTTTAATGTAACTTGGTCTTTCTTTGAGATGTGAATCGCTCTTTGTGAAAATGTATCCAAAGCCAATCACAGGTCGCAAAATAATTTTCTTCCGTTCTTTGTTAATTCCTAAAGCAGCCCTTCACCTCTTTGTGTACTACATTGATCAAATTTATCTTACTTGTGGCTGGTTCACTCACAAAAAATATTAGAAGGAATAGGAAACAAATCAAGGAGCGTTAGTGAAATAAATTCATAAACAACTTGAAAAGGAGAACAATGAGTGGTACTATGAATTTCTCTCTCTACAAATGACAAACTTTCGTCTCAAAACTTAATATTCTTAGAAATAATATCCCATCAATCGATTAGTCTGAGGATGACATGTAGTTGAAAACAACATGGTACCCAACTTACCCTACAATACATTCCAAAAGTGATTTAAAAGTTTAACATCCCTATCTCTAACAATTATTCTTGGGTCTCCATGTAATATTACTACTTCCTTAAAGAATAAGTACATCCCTATCTCTAACAATTATTCTTGGGTCTCCATGTAATATTACTACTTCCTTAAAGAATAAGTCAGCAACATGCTTTGCATCATCCCTAAACAATTATTCTTGACTACAAAACTTGTGAACATCCTGCTTCATCTTCGGTCAAAAGAAGTGTTCATGCAACCTATTGTAAGTTTTATTAATCTCAAAATGTCCCATTAAGCCATCACCAAATTAGACTAGCTCCAAAGATATACTAACAACCCTTGCTAAACCTATCAAGTAAGTGACTCTATTATTTGCTTGGTTTGATGAATTGTATTGCGTATTATAACGCATACGTGTGTCCCTTGAGCATGTCATAATTTTGATTGTTATGCTATCCAATGTTGTGTTATGCCATGTTTATAAGCTAGACTATAGTGTGACTATACTATGTTATAATAATATGTTATTACGATGATAATCTATGATGTGTTATGACGTGTATATGAAAGATTTGATAAGAATTATGTCTGCATAATTACATTATAAATGGAATGGAGGTTTGACTTGCATTATAAATTTATTTCATTTTTTTTAAGGCATGGGGACCTCATGAATTTTTGTGTGTCATATGCATCGTGATACTTTTCTATTATGATTAGTACAAATGTGTACTTTACAACTTACGACAATCATGTTCGTCACGATGTTACGCAGGTGTTTTCCCTCCATGGTGTCTGAAAGCACATTAGCGAGTCATAGTCCATTGAGACAGGCCTAAGCAGTACATGAGCCCTCAGGTGGGTCCATGTGCTCGTGGTTCGGTAGTGCATAGGAAAGTACTATACATCCAACCTTGTCGGAACTGGAAAGCTACCTAAGGCAATGCCATTAGAACCTATCATGTCACATGTGTTTGTATTTCTAGACACCAAATGTGTAGTCACTTACTACGTATTTCTTTAACTACTTAAACCACGTAATACTCTTATTTTTTAGGTAAAGGTTACGCACCAAGGTACGGATGACGACGCCATGACGAAAGCCATGGAACTAGAGGTAGGGTAGACACAATTTATGTCTATTTAGTAGTCCTTAGATTTGTTCGCGTCAATGTTTTTATTTTTCATTATTTTATCTAAACTTCACAAGATTTATTTTTCGCATTATTGTTTTAAAGATTTTATTAGGAACGTGGGAGCACGTCACACCTTTTATGAAATATTTTATATGAATATTTTGCGTACACATTAATCATGTCATGTATGTAGTAACAACTTTATTGTAATATATAAATGATCATGTCTATCTCCATTTTCCACAGAATTGGTGCTAAAAATTTCTAAAATTCTTCCGATTGGACATAATTTCCCATCAAAATTAGGTTAATATCGAAATCGAGAAAAACACAGACAAATAAAGGTCAAACAAATGCAAAAAGAAGTATCACTCGTTGGTTATGGACCAACATATGCACAAAGGGGTCGCATGCACAAATATCATGTACGACAACATACGCGCAGAGGCGGTCGGATGTGCAAAGGTGGTATGAATCTCAAATTGGGTCGGCGCATAGGGTGCGGGTCACGATTTGAGTCAGACAGAAACAATCAAGTCTGAAATTTGTAACATATGTGTCTACTAGATGCTTGACGCTCTACCTTTCTCTTTTCGCAAACCGTCACCCAAAAGTATGACACATGTTTGTCGTCAATGCCTTACCCAAACAATTTTAAGATTAAGAAACTAAAATTGTAAAGTTTTAAAGTCGGTAGGACTCAAACCCAGTCTCAAACCCACAATCATTTGATTAGAAGTCAAATGCCTTATCCATTAGGCCATGGACACTCTTCATTATATGAGCAATCGTATGCAAATTGAATTTTCAAGAGTTTATTATAAGATCTGTCCCAAACGTGGAGCCCATTGATTATGGGATACCCACTTGATATGTAAATCAAATAGGCCAAAGAATGATCCATGGTCAAAAGAAACCATTGTAAGTTAAATTTCCATCAATTTTGTTACAAATGTCTTTATTTGGGTTAGAAAAAATAAATACCAAAATGAAGTTGAAGGTTATGGAATCTAAGCTAGGGTAATTGTATTCTTCTTTAAACGGTAGCACTTAGGCTAGGTATTATTTGGTTGGTTTAAAGTTGATATTATTTTGTTTCCACTATTTCACAAATTGATTACTTTTAATATAAATTATTTTTATGAACTTTTGAATCCATGTCAATAACTAGAAACTAAGCAAACCCTTAAATGTCTTAGCACATAGACCATACGTTCCACCTCAGATTGTATAATTGAAAAAGTTGTATTAAACAACAAAGCAATGACTTTAGGCATACATCATCAGTAGGCATTTCATTTCTTCTATTATGATTTACATAGTCTTGTTATACAATTTCTACGGCATATTATGAATAATTTTTAGTTTAATATTTTTCTCTCATGTAGACCAATTTACTAATATGTAAAATAAATCATACGAGACTAATAATACTAAAGGATGAAGAAGATAATAAACGTGGTCCCAAAAGCATAAGCTTATATGTACATATATACAACAAACTTAAATTTAAATTTTATTCCTATTTTGTCAATATACAAATCGTGGAATTCTATGGAGAAAGAAAAACAAAATATTATTATGAAAGCAAAAAATTTACAAATTATAACGATATGTTTTTTGAAGCTATAAATTACGAATAGGTATATAGGCTCACGAGGACGAATGTACGTATAAATCTTTAATTTTTTAAATTGGAAACATGAAAAAATTAAAGTGAACATAAAAAGTAAGTGTCATAAAAAGTGTTAAAAGTGCAAATCATGTGTGTGGAGAGATAAATGAAAAACAATTTACAAAATAACATGAGTTTCGAGAGAGTGACATTAAAGTATTATTAAAAATGACATAAAAATTGAATGACTCGATTAAAAAGTTCCCTGCAATATATGGTCCATCTGTAAACAAACAATAGCAAGAATAAGTATGAAATTACTCCGTAAGCACCTACTTGTAGGCTCTCATCAAAATTATGTTTCTTAACTTATGTATTCCATGAGGGTCCTAGAGTTGGCAAAATCCATGGCTTTGGCAAAATCATGATCAATTCTTATAGAAACTCATTGTATAAGATACTTCCACTCATATGTCTCCACATGAACGATTTAGATAAAATAATTTGTAACAATTACAAAGTGGGTCATATCAATAGTGTTACTAGGATAAGACACCCAATCTTATCCCTATACTATAGACCCTTTAGGTTATTACATGAACATTATCCTCTAGTATGTAAACCATATGTTGTAACATTTGATTTTTCATACCATAGAAAATATTAAATTAAATTAAAATAATCAAAATTGTTATTAAAAATTAAATAATTAATTACGAGGCTTTTTATTAAGAGGATATTTTGGAGATATATTTTAATAATGAGTTAGAATATATCTGAGATATTTAGGGAGTTCTTAGTATAGATTTGATTAACAGTATATTTTATTTATTTACAATATTTAGTTAGTTATATATTTTTTTTTCTATTTTTAGGTATTAGTTGATAGTTTGTATCCTATTTAAACGTGGTAAACCTGAATGAAGATCATACTTTCGATCTCAATTCTATTTCTATTCCTCATTTTTAACATGGTATCAGAGCACCGATCTTGGTGTTCTTAAATATCAAAATTTCCTTTATGGCGGAATCAGCCAAATCCAACTTCAAAATAACACATTCTTACTATATTCATCTCGGATGTTGATTTAACACATCCTTACTATATTCATCACTCTGATCAGCCAGGATATTCACTTGTTCCAATCAAATTAAATGGAGCAAATTACCAATCCTAGAGTAAATCAGTTATGCATGCTCTTATTGCCAGTCAGAGAGGTTAGCCCTAGCTAGTGTTATAGATCTTGCTGGATGAGAGCAGACTAGACTGAGTTCCACTTCCATACTCCAGTTTACAGAGGGCAAATGGCTGGCTTGTTGGTTTAGTATAAAAAAAACTATATATATAATAAGATATTATATGCCTTATATATATTATGTTTATGTATGCCAGCCCTGAACTACTTCCTTAAAAGAAAATTGGCTTCATTGATGGCACAATTGAGGAACCGTCCCACGATGCAAATTCAACCGAATTCGAACTCTTGAACTACTTCCTTAGAAGAAAATTGGCTTCTTTGATGGCACTATTGAGGAACCGTCCCAAGATGCAAATTCAACCGAATTCGAACTCTGGAATCAGTGCAACAGTATGATAATATTTTGGTTAACTCATTCTGTTGAAGCAGATATCGCTAAAGGCATTATTCACGCCAAGACAGCTCATCAAGTGTGGGTTGATCTTCACGATCAATTCTCACAAAAGAACGCTTCAACAATTTTTCAAATACAAAACTCGATAGCAACGATGTCACAAGGAACCATGGCACTGTCAACATATTTCACCAAGCTCAAAGCACTCTGGGATGAACTGGAAGCATACCGCACACCATTTACTTGTAATCAACGTCAAATACATATTTATCAACACGAAGAAGACAAGTTGATGCAATTGCTCATGGGGCTCAATGAGTCTTATAAAACGGTGAGATCTAACATCTTGATGATGTCTCCATTACTTAATGTGAGGCAAGCCTATTCATTACTTGTACAAGAAGAGATGCAGCGTCAGGTAACTTTGGAATCTACTGAGATTTTCTCGATTGCATCAGTAGTGCAGAAGAAAACAACATATTCAAAATTCACTAAGGACAAAGCGTGTGAACGCTGCAATAAAAGTGGTCATACAATCAATGAGTGTCAAATTTTTAAGTTTCACTGTAAGTTTTTTGATAGAAGGGGACATACAGAAGATCGGTGTCGACTGAAAACTAATTATGGAAGAACAAGACAAGTCAAGTCAATCAACACAATAATCGTGGATATCGATCGTCTGAAAATATGGCCGATGTTTCACAGTTGAATACCGAAGAACAGTCACCTAATTCCATTCCAAATTTTTCTTCTGAGTAATTATGACAGATAGCACAAGCCTTATCTACAATCAATCATCACCCTTCTGGTAATTCTGACAATCACATCAATGTTGCAGGTTTGTTTCCCATATCTACATTATCTATTAACTCTGCGAGTTCTAATTCATGGATTCTCGATAGTGGAGCTACGGATCATATAGTATCAAAATCTTCTGTTATGACTGAACCAAAGGCTGCCATCATGTCTACAATAAATTTGCCTAATGAAGAGATAGCACGTGTGTCACATACTATATTTCCCTTAGCCCTAACCTTAAATTAAACTACGTTTTTATGTGTGCCTTAATTCAAGTTACCTAATGTCGATCAGCAAACTTACCAATAACTTGAAATGTTATGTCACCTTCTATCCTGATTCTTGTGTTATGTAGGACTTGGCTACGGGGAAGATGATTAGCTCGGGTAAACAATTTGGAGGTCTCTATTATATTTCTTTATCTCCAATCAAATCTTCAGCTCATCAAGTATCTCATCCATCTGATTTGTGACATTTACGCCTAGGTCATTCTTCTTTTTCTCGTTTTAAATTTCTAGATGATCAATTGCATCTTAATAATGCGAGTTATTCTTATAATTGTAGTATCTGCCCGTTAGCAAAACAAACTAGGTTGTCTTTCCCAAGAAGTTCAATAACAACCCATTCTGCCTTTGATCTGATACATTGTGATGTTTGGGGACCACATAAAATTCCTACCCATTCTGGTTTGCGTTTTTTTCTCACTATTGTTGATGATTTTACTCAATGTACTTGGGTTTTTCTAATGCAACATAAGTAAGAAGTACATCATTTGTTAATGAACTTTGTTAAATTCGTTCAAACTCAATTTCCTACTACTATCAAGATAATTCGATTAGACAATGGGACTGAGTTCCTATCTTTGCAACCATTCTTTACTTCTTGTTGTATTGAATTTCAGCGCACTTGTGTCTATACTCCACAACAAAATGGAGTCGTAGAACGTAAGCATCGTCATATCCTAAATGTAGCTAGGTCTCTTCTTTTTCAGTCACAGGTTCCACTTAATTTTTGGGGAGAGTGCATTTTAACGGCTGTTTATCTTATAAATAGAACGCCATCACCATTGTTATCTAACAAGACACCCTTTGAAGCACTCTACAAACGACCACCTATATTTTATCATCTTAAAGTTTTTGGTTGTAAATGTTATGCAACTATAGTACATCCTAAGCAAAAATTTGAACCTCGGGCAATTCCTTGTGCTTTCATAGGATATCCTTGTGGTCATAAAGGTTACAAGTTGTGTGACATGAAATCAAACAAATTCTTTATCAGCCGTGATGTTAAATTTTGTGAAGATGATTTTCCTTTTTCATCATCTTCACAAACTTCAATATTAGCTCCTTCGACTCCTGCTGTACCACTTCATGATCCATCCTACTCAAACATCCATCCTCCACCTTCTATTCCTTTACCTCCTATTCCTCCTTCACCTCCTATCCCTTCACCTACTACTTCGTCATCTCCTCCACCT